CCTCCTCCTCCTCCCGACCTATTCCCTGGGACAGGCTTTCCATCATGAGTCGTTTTCTGACGGTCCCGAGGCCCGGTGCGGGCCCCTGGAGGCAGAACATAGGGAAACGCCTTCCGGCGCGATTCTTGTCATGGATCGCGGGGGTCTGGGATCTGATGGGGGGATCGGTGAGACGATGCTCAGAGGCGCCCTCCGCGGCCGCCGCCAGCGCTGGCCGCCGCGTCGTCGAGGTCCTCCAGGCCGCAGCCGGCGCCGCGGGCAGCACGGGCGGCGCCGCGGCCGCGGCCGCGGCGCCACTGGCCACGGAGGGGGGCGGCGAGGGCGGCTGGCTGCAGGACTCCTGGGCCAGCGTTCCCAGACTCACCACCCACCAAACCACCCCAACCCAGCCTGAAGGCTCAGAGTTGCCCTCGATTTCCAGTGGGGGGGCGGGGGGCGGGAAGCATCGACAAAAACACATGTGGAACCCTTACCCCCCCCAACCCGAAATTCGGGTCTTCGGGTTGGGTTGGGGTGGTCTGGTAGGTAGTCACAGACGCCCTCGCGCTGTGAACAAAGATCGCGACGGCCAGGTTTTTGCACTATCTTCGGCCTTGCGGGGCCCTTCCCGGGCCCTGGGACCCTTCAAAAGAGGACTTGGGATGAGAAACCGGTCCCCGGGAAGGGGTCCAGACCTCCTGGGGGGCACGTCGTGGAAAGATCACGACGTCGGGGGACTGGGTTAGGAGCCTCGGTTCGAGGATCGAGGGTCGCGTTCTGAAGGTTTCGATCGCCCTGGGGCGCGGCCAGATCCGCCTCGAAGGTCTGGTCAGCACGCACCCCATGACAGGTCAGAGACAGATCTCTTGCCCTGGTCAGGGCTTCGAGGTTCGCGGTTTCCGCAAGATTTCGTCGGTTCTCTGTCGTTTTCCCGCCTCGGGGTGCCTTCCAGCAGCTGCGCCTCGCCGAGGGCGTTCTGGACGTGCACAGGTCGCTTTGAACGGCCGCCGGAGCGTCGAGTGAGGACCCGAAAGCCAGACCCGGTCGGGGGCAGCGTTAGGGGGGGGAGGTAGGCTCGAGGGGGGCAGGTGCACCGACCCCCAATCGCTCACTGATCGCCGACAGGGGCCCGACAGCCCGCTCCGCCCGGGAGCGTGCGGCTCCGCCACTGGGGGCCAGCGCCGATCCATCGGCGAGGCATCGCCGATGCCAGGCCGATGCTTCGCCCCCGTGGGGCCAGTCTCCCCCTCGGCCCTCGCGCAGGACCCGGCGTCGTGGTTCGCGGTGCACCTGGTGGCGCACGCGGTGCGGGCGGCGCCGGAGCTGAGGCCTGCGGCTCCAAGCGGCCTCTTCGCCAGAGGAGGGGAGCGTATACAGTCGGGGCGCTGAAGAAGGAACCCTTTTCGCTGGGGAGGGGCTCGGTGTTCCTTGATTGTTTCAAAGTTTGCCTCGGGTTTTCCTGAGGCTTTTCATCGGACATCGAGGTTGAACTTATGGGAAAAAGGGGCATCGTTCCTGATTTAGGGTTCCTTAGGTCAACGCCCCGACTGTAGATCTCCGGGGACCTGCTGTTTCCAAGCGGCGGGCGTTCCTCGAGCTGGGCCGCGGAGGCCCGTCCTCGTGGCCCCGGGGCCACGAAAGGTGGACCCGGGCGGAAAACTTGGTCCAGGGGAAGGGGTCTAGGCACCCTCGTTTTTCCATCGCTCCTGCCTGCATGCTGAAGAGTGAGCAAAGCAGAGGTAAGGGATAAGCTTTCGGAGGTCCGCGGGGATGGACCAGGCTGCCGCCAAGCGTTGTGCACGGAGGGGGGTCAGAATTCCTCCCAGGCCTCCGCACGTTGATGTCTGTGCCGTTTCTTGTCTTGAGCTGGGAGGCGGATGGACTTGCTGGCCTCTAGTGGCGCGTGCTGAAGCTGTGGCTGTCCGAGATGGGGAAGAAAGAGTCTGAATGGCATGCTGCCGTGGGGAGACCAGCAGCGTGGTGCTCGTTCGTTATTGTCCGAAGGCATGGTGTTTCGTCAGCAGTGACACAATGATGGGTTCCCCACCGGGGCTTGGCATTGATAGTGCGCGGCTCCCTTTATGGAGGTCTGGTTCGGGTCCGGATTCGGGTTCGAATATTGTAGGCAACATATTAGCAGCGGACTCGTAGGAAACACTATTGACGGTGAAGCCATGAACTGTCGGGGAGTGAACGTTCTGCCATCATCCCCCCTGACTGCCTCACGCAGGGGAGAGGGATGTTTGATTTCCTATGGTCTCCTTCTTTCTTTTTCTCCTTCCCCTCCCCCACGCAGGTGACCAGAGACTGGAGGGGATCCGCCCAGGCGCAGCGACGAGCGCACTGACTGCGACCGCTGATGCGCCGTACCCTCCGCGGGCCCAGTGGACGATGACGATGATGGTGGTGGTGGTTGTGGTGATGGTGGTGGGTGATGATGGTGGTGGTGGTGGTGCTGCTGCCGATGAAAGTGGTGGTGCTGTTGGCGGTGGTGGTGGTGGTGATGATGGTTGTGAGCATGATGCCGATGCCGATGAAAATGACGATGACGATGGCGATGCGGATGGTGATGCTGCTGATGATGAGGATGATGGTAAGAATGGTGGTGATGCTGATGATGCGGCTGCTGATGATGATGATGATGCTGATAGTGTTGGTGGTGGTGATGGTGATGGTGGTGGTGATGATGATGAAGATGAGGATGATGATGCTGATACTGATGATGCTGATGGTGCTGATGATGCTGACGACGACGTTGACGATGCCGATGACAATATCGATGATGCTGTTGATGTTGGTGCTTCCGGTGGTGGTGGTGGTGGTGGTGCTGGTTGTGATGTAAATGGAGATGGTGATGCTGATGATGATGGTGATGATGGTGGTGGTGATGATGATGCTGATGATGATGGTGATCATGGTGATGATGTTGCTGATGATGATGATGGTGGTGGTGGTGGTGATGAGGATAACGATGATGCTGATCATACTGATGATGATGATTCTGATGATGATGCTGCTGCTGATGCTGATGATGATGATGCCAATGCTGCTGTTGCTGCTGATGATGCTGATGATGCTGCTGCTGATGATGGTGGTGATGATGATGCTGATGCTGATGCTGATGATGATGCAGATGATGATGCTGATGATGATCATGCTGCTGATGCTGATGATGATGATGCTGATGCTGATGCTGATGCTGATGATGATGCTGATGCTGATGATGCTGCTGCTGATGATGATGCTGATGACAAAGATGATGCTGCTGCTGCTGCTGATGACGACGATGATGATGATGATGATGATGATGATGATGATGATGATGATGATGATGATGATGATGATGATGATGATGCTGATGATGATGATGATGATGATGATGATGATGATGATGATGAGGAGGATGAGGATGAGGATGAGGATGAGGATGCTCATGCGTATGCTGATGCTGCTGGCGTTGATGCTTCTGATGACGAGGCAGGGGCACGCCTGGGCGAGGACCGATCGGGCGGCGCGGCGCGTCGCGCAGCGAGCGAGTGCAAGGGGCGGGGATGGTCGGGCACGCGCGCAGAGCTCGTTCCGGCTCCTCCGAGTAAATTCGAGTCCGGATTTCGATCGATTCCGATTCCGATTCGATCCGAGTTCGGATTCTCAATTCCGATTCGATTCGATTCCGATGCGATCCCGATTCCGATTTGATGCCGATTCCGATTCCTATTCGATTCGATTCCGATTCCGATTCCGATTCGATCCCGATTCCGATTTCGATCGATTCCGATTCCGATTCCGATTTGGAATTCGGTTTCTCAATGGACGCTTTACTAGTCTTCCGATGCCCGCCCATCGGGCTTCTTCTAGGGAGGGGATTTTCGGCAGCAGCGAAGCTTGGCCAGGAGCGACTCGGTCAGTCTGAACTCTGGCAGCCGAACTCGGCCAGGCCAGCCGACTTCGGCCAGGCTGAGTTCGACCAGGCTGACCTAGGCCAGGCTGAACCCGGCCAAGCTGAATTCGGCCCAGGCCGAGTTCAGCTTGGCCGAGTTCAGCTGGCAGCTCAGCCTGGCCGAATTTCGCCGGGTCGAGTGTCTGCCTTGTAATCAGGCACGCGCAGGCAAGCCAGCCTCCCGCCTGGATTCTGACGTAGGGGCCCGCAGATCTGGACCTTCTCCCTGGAACTGGTTTCTCATCCCGAGCCGTGTTTGGGCAGCCCCCCAGGGCCCGATGCGGAGCAGTGGCAGACATTTCCCGCCATATTTCTTCCTCACGCAGCTTGCCTGCAAGGGTCTCCCATGCTTCTATGACTCAGGAAGACAAATATCGGGTTGAGAGGATTGGGTTGGGAGACGTGAGGGTATCCTCAGGCTGCCGAAGGTATCAGTCATTGCATCCAGATACTATTGCTCATACCCTTCATCCTCCCAACCCCTTCCTCCCAACACGATAGTTGTCCTCCTCAATTTTCGCCGCGTGAGGGGGCCCAGGGCTGCCCAGACCCGTGGCCAGTGGTGGCCCCCCGTCGTGGACCGCGTGAGTCTGTTCAGGGTCTTCTGCCGCACGGGTTTCCCTCCCTCCACGGGCAGGCGGTGCCCGGGGGGAGGTCACCTCCCCGGGGTCATCCTGGGTCCTCGGCCTCCCAGATCGGGGTCGGAGTAGATGGGGTCGGAGCATCGCGCCGCATCGCCGATGTATCGCCGATGCGGCTCGACGCGGAGCCCGAGTTTCTTCACGTCGACGTCGCCGATGCATCGCCGACGTCGACGATGCGTCACCGGTGCATCTCGCACGCATCGCCGATGCGTCGCCCATGCATCGCCGATGCCTCGGCGATTCGGCGCGATCCTCCGACCCCACCTGCTACTCCGACCCCATCTGGGAGGCCTCGAGGGAGCATGTTCAGGGTCTTCTGCCGCACGGGTGTCCTTCCCCCACGGCGCGAGAAGCCCTGGGCTCCTCTCGGGCGGCAGGCGGTGCCTGGGAGGGGAGGGCACCTCCCTGGGGCCCAGGGCGCGAGCCTCTGGCGGCCG